TGGATCATGGCTAAGGCAAAGTGCTAAATTTGTTTTCTATTGATATTCATGCTAAAATTTAAAACAAAATGATATTTTGTAATGTGGTTTAATATTTTGATAAAATTATATTAGCATAAAATTATAAGCAGGATCAAACAAACGCCGCTCCCGAAGTATGTGCACCAAGATGGCGCACAACCTGAACCATAACTTGGTACAAATACTATGTTCAGGATGTGCGCTATCTTGGTGCATATACTTCTGGAGCTCTGAAAAAAAAACGGAGGTTGGCAACAGCAAGCGGATGTACTTGATGAATATCCAGCTTGTCAAGTTGAAAATAGTACGACAAATTGACATGTAAAAATAGGAATGATTTAAAACAGAGGAATAAGACTCGGAAGCATGAAAATGTTTTGGACGTAGAGGATAAGAGCATGTATATATACTGGAATGAATTTTCTCGAATCATTGACTATACTCTGTCGACCGTAAAGAAGATTTCGAATTTTTAAAATTATTAGTATATTTTGCAATAGAAACGTGAATAAAAAGAGAAGTGAGAATCTGTGAATGGCTTGTGTGTAAATCTTGCCAATCCTTCTGACCATTACTTTTTACCGACGGCGTCTATATTAAGAAACGTATAGCAGTCACATCGCATGAACTAAACTGACAACACAATCTTGTCCCAAGCCAAGCTAATTCGTGGCGAGTTCGCTTTACGTAATATCAATACTTTTCGAAATTCTCAAAATACCCAAATCAAAACCTAATTAACAATAAATTTGGTCATAGTAATTATATTTAACGTATTTTTTAGCATTTTTTTTATCAATGGCTAAATTGTCAAATAGTGATATTATCTTACAGGTTACGAGTTAGTCATTATTTTCATTCATATACTGTGATAAAATATATTTAGATAATTATAAAACAACGTAATCAGCGTTATTTTTTAAAATACAATATTCTGAATAATAGCAAACATCGAGGACTGTTGATGAAATTAGTATATATATATATAGATATGTAACTAACATTGATAAATAATAGTTGGTTAGCTCAAATAATGACTTCAGTCAGTTTCTGGACATGTTGAAGGAGAAAATTTTGCAGATATTGCGACATCATGCAAGACGTTAATGAAGGCTGCAACCTGTCACAAAGTTGGATTTGGACTTGGAAAAAATCCACGAATCACCTGATGATCTGAACAAAGTAAAGCACACAAGTTTTTTCGATAAGATTCTGATATCACCAGACCTTGCATATATATATAGCTAAGGCAAAACGAGACTGCTGTTCATGTCCACAATGGGTAGAGAACAAACGTTTGAACTCAATGGAAGGAGTATTTATATTCCGGTATTTGTACTAGTTCATGATGCAACAACAAATACTTCGACTTGGTAATTTAATTTACAATATCTTCCAGTACTTAAAAAGTTTGATATAAGTTTTCATACCTTTGTCGAGTGGACATAACAAAGCCGCAAAATAATTTTCATAGTCAGAAAGAAAAACTATAGCTGCATTGTCTAAAAGGTTGTCTGATTAAAACAAATAGAATTAAATGAGTTTAACTGCAGACCAACAAAAGAATAATAATTTATCTATATTATATTATATATGTATATGTATTAGTAATTTTACCCATTTTGACACCGCTTCATTCGCAAGTCCGTTCATTTCCTCTCCGTGCTCGAGGTGAATAAATTCTGCAAACGTTCAATTTGTGTCAAAAAATTAACAAATGTCTTAAATTAGAAGGAAAATAATAAAAGAGTTTACTAGTACTTTTCATTGTTATGCTAATCAATAACTTTCCACGACGTTTTGAAAGCATTCAATTGGGATACATTTTGTGTACACAACATACCATCGTCTGATTTCCTAATATGATAAGTTCCATCTCCTTCATAGTCAACATGAAATTCAAATTCAACATATCTGGCAAATAAAACGGTGTTACAAAAATTGTCCTTCTATGCAACCTGTTATCTAATTTTATAATTGTGTTTTCGAGAATTTATTGGAAAGCATTATTAATTAGTATGCTATCAGATCCGAGGAAATAGACTCGTAACTCTTGGACGAGTTCTCAGGTAGATTTGGTAATTTAAACAACATATGAAAATGTAGAAGAATCACTATAGGTAAATAATTTATTTTTAATTTTAGCTATTTTCAACAATATTTTACTTATTGTAACACATTTATACTCTGTAGATTTTGCTTTTTGTTTTCATATATTTACCTGGACCCATTTTCCTTTGAAACAGCTTGGAATCCAGTTTCTGTAGACGTGATATTAGTGAATCAGGCACAAGAGACCTTAGACGTTGTTTCATCAGTCCAGAATACCACGTAGTTTTTGATAACTACAAAATGGGAAAAACCTAAATTACCCGAAAATAAGTCCTATAGCCTGAAAATAGGACCTAGCCCAAATTTAAAAATGATTTTAATCCAAGCCCTACCCTTAAAATAAGATCTAGCCGATAGCGTGAAATTTGTTTTGACCTAATCGAAGGCAAGAAATCTCTCTTACACGTTTCAAATGGTTAAACTAAAACGCGTGAGAAAGGAAAAGGTTCAATGAGTAAAATCTTCATTGGAATTTATGAATCTAGTGACTGGCATGACATTCCAGAGGATGATGATATGGTCAATTTTGAATAATGGCAGTTTTTTGTTTAATAAAAACGTGTTATTTTTAAGTAAATGGATATCGGGTTTCATATTTTGTATATTTGAAAATCTCGAATTTTTACTTCGTAATTTTGTTTTGATAAATGGCATCCTCCCATATAAGCCCTAGTTGTTATTTTTCGAAAGAAAATTAAAAATAAGACCATGTCTTATATTTGGGAAACACGGTGTATGTTAGCATTGGTTGATTAGAATTTAATACTAGTTTACACGAAAATGGTTTTGACTAATAACGGATTGGAAGTAACTACTTTATATTAACTTAAAGAGTCATGTTTTTCATTAAAATCAGCAAAAACAAGTGGGTTCACACACTTCTATAATTTAGTCTCAATTTGAGTTGTTATCTTCATCTCCACCGTAACTTTCCAGCATCGATTTCCATGCCCTCTGAAACACAGCTTTTCTGTAACTGACTTGCATTTGTTATCAGTGCAATTGATGACAATAGTAAGAGTAATTCAACAATTGAAATCATGCTCATTATGACCATAAACGCTTCGTGATTTTTCTAATTTACCTGTAACAAATAGGAAAACGTGTTGTTCGTATATGGATTTGCTTTGTATAAAAGTTCATCTGTATTATATGTATCAAACAAAGGTTCTTTAAAACGCCTTATTCAAAACATCTCAAGTATATTTATCAAAAATTAGAAGTTTATTTCAATGAAACAACCAAAAATAGAATGAACTGTTGTTCACATAGCTGCAATGTGAATGCTGCTATAGTCTATATTCTATTGTGCTGCTTTTATGCCTCCCAAGGCCCTTTTTCATTTCATAGTTCTTGAGTAGAATCTTACTCATTGTTTTGTTCTATCCTTCTATGTTTACTTTACGTCAAAATGAACTGTTTATAATTTGGGTGAAGATTCTCTGAGTCAGAGGACGCACAGGATACACGCAAAAAATCAATTCATGTTGTGACGATACAAATCTGTGGCAGTTCCACATAAAATATCCTGATTCAGTAACATTTGAATGAACTAGTTTGAATGAAATATATTTTATTAGCATTGCTCAAATTTTCTGTATATGTATATATATATATATATATGCTTGTTCTAATATAGTCTATATAGCGCTAATATATCAAGGAAGCAGACATAACCCACATAATTTATAAAAACTATATGATTTGAGACAGAAAAATAGCCATGTATGCGTTATTCCGATTGGAAATATTTTACTGCGATTGAGAGGCACCCAGATCGAGTATATTTATTTTAGTTTGCTAAGTTTTCTATAATTTCTAATAATACAACGATATTATTCGAAGATATATCTATTTGAAATTACTGTCGGGATTTGCTAAAGGCAACGCGCAATAGAACTCACATACTATTAAAATTAGAACACAAAACGCTATAAACTTCTTTACCCTAAGTAAAAATTTTTGTTCTGTACTATGTAGTCAGTACTATTCTAGTAAAACAATGGAATAAAAAAAAGTTCTCAAGAAATTCATGTATTCTACGACAATAAAGGGAGAGAACAAAAATTAATGAATGGCGAAGACAGAGTACGTTGATAATATCAATTTTATTTCAATAGTTTCTGAAAATATTTCATAAGGCATCTTGAAGTAATTTCCAAGATAGTAATGTTATGCTATTGTGATAGATATACATGCCAATCAAAATTTTTAATTTCCTAAAATAACAATTACTTGTTGCTATCGACAGAAAGTCTGAGGTCTTGAAAACACTTTGAGTACTATATGTTATCAGAAGCGAAAACCCAAATGAGTCTATAATTATTATATTAGTTGACTTATAAATACATGTCTATATCCTACTTATGATTCAAGTTTTGGACAAAGAAAATCGAAACTCGACAACACAGAAAATTGGTTTCGACATGACCAAAATTAAACTTGTGGGATTGAATTCTCCATCGTATTTCCCCAAACACTGTTTTTATTATAGTAATTGGTAATTTAGTATTTAATTGAGTACTGTGAACGTTTTTTCTATAAGGCGCGTCATTCCAACAAGGCTCTGTTTTGGAATAACCAATTGATATGCATGAAGCAGATATGTATGAAAAGGTAACTGTCTCGTAAAATGAATAAAATCACAGTGGCATTAGATATAAATAATTCTATGTGTAAAAAGACACGATTACAAATGAAATCTCTATTCAAGAAATCGTAGAACTCTATACTAGTGGATCAGCCTGGTTTATATTATCTATTTATGCACACATTTGTTTAACAGGTAATATGCATTGCCTCTTTTGGGCACAAACAATGCTACTCACGCAACGGTATTCGATTTGGAGATAAGATATGTAGGACGTGATATTACTTAATTATCTCTATGTATACTATTCAAAACTTGACAAAAGACTCAAAATGTAATTTCGCTGCAGTAATCTTCTTATCGCCACAAACGGCATTTGTTTTAAAATACCCACCACATATGGCGACACCATGTTTTTGTTCATGCTTCTTTTTATTCACCTATTATTTTGTCATTCATTTCTGTTGTTATGTCTTTGTATAATTTAAAAATTTATTACTAAATATGGAATGCAAACCATAATTGATTTTCACATCTTCCTTTCTTTTTCTTCATTATCTTGATAAAGATTCATTTGTGTTTTACAGACGAAATATAAATAGTCTGGTAGTAAAATATAATTTCGACTTACGTAACATTCGGTTACAAACAAATTAACCTCAGAAGTTCGACATTGATGATGATGTAGTATTTGTATCCCGCTCAAAAAATATATAAAAATAACATTTTATTATGATGATATTAAATTAAGCAGGCCAGTCATACCGTGAACTTATATCGACCTTATATCGGTTTCAGATATACGCACTGATTCAGTGACACAAAATTATAAAACAAACGCCATTGTGTCGTGTATTGTTAGGTTTTCATATTTTTATCCATAAATTAGTTTGCTCTATGGTCAATAATGATTTGAAATTCAGGTATTGGTTATGTAACAAAGCGATTTTCACGTGTATAAATTATTCTACCCACACTTTATAATTTCGTAATATTTTGTTTGAAACAACATAGATGGTTCTACCTTAGACAATTAAGATAAATCGATACTTATAATTACAAGATCATCTGTTCAATAAACACAATTGAACTTGAATCGAGCAGATCAAAATATGTAGTAAATATGTATTAAATTCCATGGTGCTAATAAAGTTATGCATCGAATACTGTGGGATATACGTATCAAATATTGCTTTTATTTTATGATACGTCACAAATCAGTAAAGATTCAATCGATATACGGCACAAATGCGTATAAATACAATATGCGATATAGAATAATATAGAATCTGAACTTATTTCAATTTATTTTTGCTGCAGAAATCTAAGATACAAGCTCAATGTATTTTGACAAAGTATCCCATTCTTATCGTTCTTGTTAAAGATTAGGGAGAAAATCACAGATTTAGTTTTTCCCAAATGAGTCCTTTCAAATGTTATAAGTGAGCAAATGCGTAACATCCATGAAATTACATAGAGGCCCAAATTATAAATAATTCACTTACATACAATACGATCAAATTATTCCGATTAGGAATTTATGGTATATATATATTAATGTTCTAATCTAGTAACAATAGTCTAGTACAGTGATTCCCAAAGTGGGCGATATCGCCCCCCAGTGGGCGAAAACGATACAGAGGGGGGCGAAAAAGTTGAAGGGGGCGATAGGGGGGCGAATTCGCGAAACCTGTTTTATGTTCGGCGCACCTAATTCTGTAATCTGTGTGCATTCGCAGGCTTGAATCTCGTGGGCGATTATCACACGCGAAGGGATTTCTGGACTCGTCTTCGCAGTAAGGTACGGTAGTTGCGTATCCCAGTGGTCGGCAAAATACGGCCGGAGTAAAATAATGTGGCCCGGGACGATTCACTGAATGGACCTTCCCCGACCTTTGACCGCGGAAAATTCTTCCCATACTTTACCATTTTAAAATTTTCGGTGTTTATTTTAAGTGTGGTTTCGCGAGTTGTTGCCTGTAAAATGGGGTATTTGTTTCAAACTATCATTCTAATACACACCATTCAACAATCTGTTTTTTAAAAGTACCGATAAAGAATTTGAGCCTAGTCTATCACAGCTATTTCTACACTAATTTTTGATTCCTGTAATTTAACTGAAACTCATAAGAAGACAAAGTAATCATTGATTTATTTGATTTATATTTAAATTTCCGAAAAACAACTAAAAACTAACGAACATAATTCAAAATCGCGAAACCTGAGGTAATGTTCACGACCACGCCTGAGAATCTGTCTGAGTGAGCGTGTCTGAGCGGATGTGAAAAGGGGCATTGTCACGTTTTTTGCATCTTGCTGATTGGCCAATGTTACGAAGTAAACAAGGAAGTCTATGTCCGGGTAAACATTCAAACGGCGGTTTTGACGATGAAATTTTTTTACATATAATCTACGCTCGAGGAGTAAATTACATTTTTTTACGTAACAGAATTTATCGTGAGACACGTTTGGACTAAATTTTATTATATCCTAAAGCAAAGAACTGGGATTAGTGATTCCCATTTAGAAAATATTCCAATCTTGGCGTCGTAAAGCTATCCAGCGTGATGCAGCAACAAGACAGTGCCACATTAAATGTCCTTGTAATATTTTTTCAATAAGACGACTGAGTTGAGTTCACGAAT